TGTGTGTGTGTGTGTGTGTGCGTGCGCACGTGTGTGTGTTTTCCACCCCCATATCGTACCACGCACTCAAAAGTTACAGAAAACTTTCCATCTCCTATTCTGAAACAGAAAGTGTCATCATTTCTCATCATCCCTTCGCTCTTTAACAACTCTCTGAATAATTGATTAAAAAATTCTTATTTATCTTTTCAACAGTTTGCTATATAAAAGTAAAAGAAATAGGGTATGACAAGTACGTGTACACGTATCTATGGTATAATATTGATTAACACTCTTTGGCATGTGCACGTCCTTTTCCTAGCCACGAAAGCGCGAAGTCTGGGTCATGGTCTCTGACTTCAAGACACATGATCATTGCATGCTCGTTAGGCCCAAATAACAACCATGTATAATTATATAGATCAAATATATAGCATTAATATAGATACCAGGGCCCATACGGTATCTATATATAGGCTATAGGCTATCTTAAAGTACAAAGACAGCCTGACATACATGGTTGATTGCACGCACTTCAGACGGTCCTTTATACACCAAAGACTGCACGCGTTCTCGTACGTGTTAATGGATGTTTCAACTCGTACATTTGTAACTATCTTAGCCAATTAGTGAATTTGTGTGTGTGTGTGTGTGTGTGTGTGGGGGGGGGGGTACCACTTGCCACTCAGAAGTGAGTTTTCAGTGTTTCACTTTTCACTTTTCATCATTTCACCTGTACGTGAACTGTGTGAACTCTGAACTTGTGTCCCCATTTGACCTTACACCATAGACTTGGATTTATAATATCCTAGATTAAAAACTGCCATGGCAGCCGTTCCTACTTTCTTTAGAAACTTGGCTGGCTTCATGCACACAAGGGACGTAAGAAAAAGAAAGGTAAATAACATCTTTTTCTCTAGTTTGAGTGTGCACTCAACCTCTCCCTTGTGGCCCTTCTTTTGGTTCCAAAAGGAGTCAAATGGTGCTCCAGGAGTATACAATCTAGGATATTATCATATTATAAGTCTATGGATCTTACCGACTACTGGCGAAATTTCCCGAGGCAAGCTGCGGTATGACGTAGAGACGAAACGCGCATGCGTGACCTTGCTCACATCTTCCTTTTAAGTAGGCATTGTGCGATACGTCATATCGATACTCTATTCTGTAAAAACACGCCTTTTTGTCTATGACCTTGACCTTCATATAACATTTTTCAATGAAAAAGGAAAAGTTTACTAGCACAAAATCAGGCCCATACAGAATGAATTAAATGATATATATGTGTTCCAAATATAATTGCACTGAAATTTAGACAAGTCGAGGGGTTGATAAAACAGACATTCTAGTCCATTCAAACGAAAAATCGACATAGAGTATCGACTACAAATAGTCGCGTTAAATCCTGTCGAATACTGTAACATTCGCTCGCACTCGCCCATCTTTCTTTCACTCCAACCCAGACTGTCTCCACCGTACTACGTTTGTGCATCTCTATTATTTTGGTAGCAGACAACAACAGGTGAGAATTTTCACATTTTAATAGAATATTTCTTGAACAATTAAAGCTTTTATTCTTTGAGTTAAACTTTTGTTCGTAGCGTCAAGTGCAGATAATAATTGTGGAACCAGTTACAAACACCGGCTGCTCCTGGGCCTACCTGCCGGCATTTTGCTGCACATCGCATTCAGCAGAACACCACTGTACTATTCAACGTAGGCTTATTTCAGATCAGCAGTTTTTAAAATTAGATCTAATTGTTAGATTAAATCATTAAAATTGTATAAGGGACTGTGTTTTAGGTTGATTTGAGGTGACAGTGAAGAAATTTACATTGAAATGTCAAGGTTATGTGGCAACCTTGGCTCGGAAGTGCAAGGTCGTCTGTCTCGATTATATGATGCTCTCCTGAACCTGATCTGTAGCACACTCGCTCACCTCACTGGCATCAGTCAACCGTGTCAACAGGTTATACCCTCCTATACTATACAAGTAGATCAAGTAGAAATCTAGATCTAGATACCTAGATCTAGATCTACATCTAGATCTACATCTAATCCCATGTTGTAGTCACAGGCTCAGACACAGGGTTACCCCATTCTAATAGTAACAGTTAACCGTAACCCCATGCCCCAGGGTCATTATTATTCTGTATCCCTGGGGTTGTATTCTTCACATTTTAGAATACTTTTAGTGCGAAGATCTCTTTGAAACTTTCACACACTTTACTTTCATTTTCATTAATATTATGATTAATTTGGAATCCTTTTGTTGTTTTGTTCACAGAATTCATAGTCAAGATGGCTCCTCTCCAGATGGGAATCAACGGGTATGTATGAGTTTATGTAGCCTACTTGTAATGTAAAGCTTCAAACAACTTGTTACAGAACTAAAAGATTTTCTTGGGAGAACTTTATGATTGAAACTGAAAGCATAGTTTCAAAATCAAATGCTTTGATGTGCAATAACAAAAAGTAGGAAAGACTTCCGTAATGAGCGACCACCCCAACAAACAATAAAAGAGAGACCTGACTGTCCCTAGCTCTACCCCTAACCCTGACCCTCTATATTTCTATACTCTGTCTTGTTTCATAGTGATCATTCATTCATTACGGAATTCTTCCCAAAAAGTAGCCATCGTGGCTTTTTAACCTTAAAAAATAATTGTCGTGTATTGGAAGCAGTTTTTTACATTTGGCTTTGGTCTTGGGTTATTGCTGTGAAGAAATTGATTTTTATGACAAATGTTTCTGAACTGCATGTGTATCTATTGAACTGGATGAATAAGAAAATGTCTTTCTATAGATGTTAAATGGCAAGCTTTGATCTCTGTAATTTGATCTGTATTTTTAAAAATCTCATTCCTTGCACTGTCTGATATTGTCAAGAGAATGATATTCTAAGATAACATTTTAAAAGTTTTTCCTTTGTTTTTTTTATTGCAGATTTGGCCGTATTGGTCGCCTGACTCTTCGTGCTGCAATTGAAAACAATGTACCAGTTGTGGCTGTGAACGATCCATTCATCTCTCTTGAGTACATGGTAAGGCTAGGATAGATGTGTTGAGTATTTCCTCAGTAATACCATGCTTTTAAAAGCATGATCATCCTCTTTCATTTTCTGATTAAGAAAATAGCATCTGTAAAATAACTATTTCTGCCAATGTCTCGTCTATTGCAGGGCTAATACTTAGTAAAAATGAAAATAAAAGGATAATAAAAAAAATTGATTTGTCTAAACCTCCTTAGATAGTGACAACCGAACGTGTAACTGGTACATCATAGACCCCAGTAAAAAATGATGAGTTCATGTAAGAGGTATTTAAAACGATAGCTGTTACATCCATCTAAAAAGTGAATTAATGAGGAGTATTTGGTTTGTGAAAGGTGGATGTTTTGAGCAACAAAAGGAAAAAAAGTTTCTGAGTTCAGAGTAAGCTTGGCAATGCACATAATGCACCAAGCCATTTGAGTTTGCAATCACACATTATGCTTCATCAAAGTAGGTCTCCACTCCAACTGAAGAGAGATTGAGAGAAGCTAAGCTGATGAATCAGGTTTTAAGTGAAATGTAATGTTTGGCTGTTCCCTTAACTTGCTTCCTATGAATTAGTTTAAAGAGTAGGAATGGTTCAAGGTTTTTGGTCCCAGGGGTATTTTATGGCTCTGCTGTTGTTGACCGTTATGGTCATAGTTTTGTAAACTGCACTGTACTTGAGAGGAAATTGGTTGTTTTTTTAGAAGATATTCAGTTGATTTATGTTGTATGTGTATGTTTGTCCATACTTGTTATTCATGTGTTCTCAAGTATCTATGTTGTTCGTGTGTTCACAGGTACCTGTGTCAAGCGTGACTTTGTTGTATAAATAACTTCTACAGTCTTTGTTCTTAATTTATTATGTCTTTTATTTCGTTAACAATACAGTCACCCATGAACATACGAACAACATAGATACTTGAGGACACATGAAAAACAAGTACGGATGGACATACATACAACTTAAATCCACTGAAAATCCTGGCAATTTTGCAAGAAACTAAAGCCCTGTCTGCACTCTGTCTTTCCAGGTGTACATGTTCAAGTATGACTCTACACACGGTAGCTACAACGGTGCCATCTCCCACGACAACGGCAAACTGATCATTAATGGACAGTCCATCACCGTGTTCAGCGAGTAAGTGATGTTTGTCTGGTTGTTTATTTAATAAAGATATGAGTGAATGTGTGGCGTTGAGGAAAACAAACCCATAGGAAGGTTAATGTTTTCGAAACTGATGTTTTGAACAGTTGAAATTGAAAGATTCATTTTTTTAAAAGTATTTCTTCCTCCTAGTACTTTTAAGCCTTCCTCTCTTTCTCTTTCCAAGAATTACAAAGTTTGTGATAGCAATCACCTCTTGAGATCGAATGTCAACAAGTTCAGTTTTTCGCTTTTTATTCTGAAAGACAGGTTTTTCCAGTTCTGTTTCATCTTCATTTAGAATTTCCAGCTTCTTGTTATGATTTCAGTTTTTCTAATGATAAATTTGTGTGAATAAATTTTTTGTGAATGGCTTTTGTGTTAGTTTCAATATTTGTTGGGAAAGATTGGATGTTGATGTAGAATTGAAAGTGACTGTGTAAACTTTCAGACGTGACCCATCTGCCATCAACTGGAAATCTGTCGGCGCCAACTACGTCGTCGAATCCACTGGAGTCTTCACAACCACAGAGAAAGCTATTGTAAGTGAAATGTGGCGGCCCTGGGGCTGGGGTGCTAAATGGACAAGTGTGCTGTTCATTCTCCCTTTACACTGTTCGCGGGTGGTTGGTGGGTGCTCTTGTGTGGTGTACCCCTTCTTTCCTATCAAATATTTGTCGTTCTGATCTCTCCTTTTTTGTGTTTGTTTCCCTCTTGTAACGCCTCTAATCTTCGGCACTTATAATTTATGTGACCCTTTTGTGTTGCAAGTGCCGTAAAAATCTTACTAAAATTACCCTGTTCACCTTTGTTTTCTACACAGTATCATTCTACTGTGAGGCGGAGTGTGTTAGTTCTAGTCTGTTGTTGCATGGAAAGTGGATATGTTAGTGAATGAACATCTTGCATGAAAAGGGACAGCAGGGGAGGAGAGGGTAGAAACTTAGTGTCCTGTTTTACACATTTAAAAGACAGTATTTTGAGAAAACATTTGAGGGTTTGATTCAATGGCACTTTAGAATATTGTAATCTATATAAAGTGTTTGAGGAATTGAGTTTGGTTGAGTGTACATCATTTTGCAGTTTTTATCATTTTGAAAATTTTTTTTTGGTCCAGTGATTTTTGTGCAGACAGTCAGTTGAGCGTTGTTTCTGTAAATCATGTGTATTTTTAATGTGGTCTGCTCTTACTTATTCTCTGTGATACTGTTGGTGTAATATTTCCTACTCTCTGTCCAAATGGAGCCTCCAGGTGGCTAGTGGGTGGTTGACGGGTGCTCTGTTGTGGTTATCATCCTGATCTCTCCCCTTTTTTTATGTTTGTTACTCTCTTGTAACACCTCTAACCTTTGGCGCTAATAATAATGACTTTATTGTGTTGCAAGTGCCGTAAAACTCCAATTAAAGCTAAAACTATTAGTCCAATGAAATGAACACATCATGGCACTGCCTCGCCGCACATAAACCGACACTCCCCTCACTGTGTTTCGTTGTGCCCGCAGGTCCACATCAAGAACGGCGGTGCCGAGAAGGTGGTCATCTCTGCCCCGTCGGGCGACGCCCCCATGTTTGTGATGGGCGTGAACGAGGAGAAGTACACCAAGGACCTGCAGGTGGTCAGCAACGCCTCCTGCACCACCAACTGCCTGGCCCCCTTGGTCAAGGTCATCCACGACAACTTCGGCATCGTGGAGGGCCTGATGACCACCGTCCACGCTGTGACGGCCACACAGAAGACTGTTGACGGACCCAGCCACAAGGTGAGGGGTAGAGCTCTGCTCACTAAGATTGCAGATGGTTGGCGGGTGCTCCGGTGTGGTTTGCACATTCTTTTCCTATAAAAAATCTGTCTCTTCTTTATCTCCTCTCCTTCTATTTTTTCTGTGTTTGTTACTCTCTTGTAACACGTCAAATCTTCGGCACTTATGTGACCTTTTTATTGTGTGTTGCAAGTGCTGTAATACTCTTACTTAAAATACAACATCAGTAAGATTAGGATACATCTCTGCAGGAACTTAAACTTAAGTTCTTCGGCTTTGTCTAGGGTGTGGCTATATCCCTGTCCGTCTTTTAGGTGGATGGCAGGCACTCTGGTGTGGCTTGCTCCTTCTTTCTTATAATAATAATAATAATAATAATAAATAAATAGCTTTTGTATAGCACATGTCCCCACTCGAAAGCAAGCTCTATGCTCTCTACACTATATTATGACACTTCTTTCGTTTTTATCTCATTTCTTGACCGAAATTGAGTCGATAGTGCAGTAAAACATGTACTCTATCAATCAATATCTCATCTTTCCTCCTTCTGTCTTTGTATGTTACACTCTAGTAGTAAAGCTTATAAATCTTCGGCACATATAAAACCTATTTGTGTTGCTGGTGCTGTAAAACTCACTCAAAAAAAAACTAAAGCAGTCTTCGCCTGGCTTGGCCCAGACAGACTGAGTGGAAGTAGTGTGCTCCCTGAATGATGTAACTGGTGGTGTTGTGGGCGTTACACATTGACAGTGGGTGGTTGGCAGGTGCTCTGGTGTGGTTTGCTCCTTCTTTCCTATCAAACATCTATCATCCTTATCTCCCCTCCTTCTTTTCGGTGTTTGTTACTCTCTTGTAACACCTCTAATCTTCGGAACTTGTACGACCTTATTGTGTTGCAAGTGCCATAAAACTCTTACTAAAACTTATAAACACATTGACAATCATTTTTGGATAGTGACTTGCAGCATGTCTTGAGTTGTGTGTGACTTTTCTGTTGACAGGACTGGCGTGGTGGACGTGGTGCCTTCCAGAACATCATCCCATCTTCCACCGGTGCTGCCAAAGCTGTGGGCAAGGTGATCCCTGCCATGAATGGGTGAGAAGTTTTTCCTCTGCAGAAAAGGCACAGATTTTGGGTCGTCTATTTTAAGAAATAAACGTTTCCCTCTTAATAATTCTCATGATTTCTTTAGCATTTGTCCCTTCAGTTTCTTTTGCTTTCAACTAGAATAATAGATGTCTACCGTACATTTTTGGGTTAACATCTCTGGGTTTGGTTTTACTGCTTAAATACTAATAATTTTGTTAGACAAGAGGCTCACTGTAATTGCACAGAGCACTTAGTGTCCAAAAGCGGAACACTTGCCTTTGTGGAACTATCTGGTCCTAAGGCAATTAAATGTGTGCTTAAGTTCAATATGGCACATGTTTACTCTGTTATCACAACCACCAAATGTAAGACACTTTTGGAAGTGCAGTTTTCTCTTGTATTCATAACACATTGCTGTATGTTTGCTTTTCCATCTCATACATCATCATGTATACATGTCCATAGAATGAATATGTAAAGAAACCACACATTTGCTTTTCAGAAAATTGACTGGCATGGCTTTCCGTGTGCCAGTTCCTGATGTGTCCGTGGTTGATCTGACCTGCAGATTGGAGAAAGGAGTAAGTTGTGCCCGGTTCATTTCTTAATCTAGAAGCATGATAAAGTGTTTTCAGTTTTCTGTTGTGTTGTGCGTGTTTTTCAGCGGTAAACGCCTCTTACTCTCCTGTTTTATTTGTTTGACTTTTTCTCTGCAGGAAGTAGAAAGGAGCCACTGGTAGACCCTCTTTTTCTTTGCCTCTTTCTTTTTCCACCTGTTAAATGGCTGTTTTAGTTTGCTGTACTTCTCTCTGCTTAGGACATAAAACATTTCATTGGCTCTCTACCACCATTGTTGAATTCCTTTCTTTCTCTCTATTGTTTCTATCTTGCTCTTTCCCTGCACTACATGGCCATTGCCGTGTCCGTGTTTCCCTTTTGTGGGTGGTTGGCGGGTGCTCTGGTGTGGTTTGCTTCTTCTTTCCTATCAAACACCTATCGTCCTTATCTCCCCTCCTTTTTTGTGTTTGTTACTCTCTTGTAACACCTCTAATCTTCGGCACTTATATGTGTGTGTGCCTTATTGTGTTGCAAGTGCCGTAAAACTCATACGAAACTAAAAGTGTTTCCCTTTACTGATGGTGAATTGTACTAACTAAAGCATTGGCCCTTCCTCAGGCATCATATGATGTGATCAAGAAGACAGTAAAGGACGCCTCTGAGGGTGCTTTGAAGGGCATCTTGGCCTACACCGAGGACGATGTCGTTTCACAGGACTTTAAGGGAGACACCGCCAGCTCAACCTTCGATGCCAAGGCTGGAATTGCCCTCAACGACAACTTCGTGAAGCTGGTTTCCTGGTGAGTTCACTCTTTTCTTTCCACTGGTCCGGGGAGGAAAAGTTTACAAGAAATCTAGATGAGGCGTGCCGACAAAACGATTTACTTCTCGCAATCCACAAATGAAGATGTTGGCCTAAAATTGACACTTGGGTCGAATTTGCAGATTTTCTATTAATGCCATATTCTTTAAGTATAACATGCCTTTTATTATTTCATGCTTATATCTTCATTTATAAGCGTGATGCATCTATTTCCACTGGGCTCAAATCCGAGAAGTAACTCATTTTGTCAGTACGCTTCACATATGGCCACTGCTCACTGACCGGAGGTGTACCCTCTCTTACTATAGAAAGATTAGAAAGATTATCGAAGACATCTTTGCTTAGATATGTTCTTATGTTCTTTTTTTTTTGTCCTGTCAGGATTAGTTTCATTCATTGAGTCATGAAATATATTTGGGTGTACGATGCTAGTGTTCCCTAGGGCATTAATTAAACAGATACTCACACACACACACACACACACACACACACACACACACACACACACACACACACATACACACACACACACACTCACACACGCACACACACTAAAAGCCAAGGTTTTGAAAAGATATCCTTTATGAAAACTAGATCTTGAAAATCTCGCCCGTTCGTGTGCAGCTCTGTCAGATGTGGCGCTAATGGTTTCTTGTTGTCTTTAAAAAAGTTTTTGTTCCAAGTTGAGAAAAAGTTACGATGGTATACATCGCAGTAGTTCGTGGCAACCTCAGGAGATGGAGTACTTGAGGTGGTCATCTCTCCCTCTCATCACTGAATGTTACCGTAAACTGTTACATCTGTTGTCTTGATTTATTTCCTGACATTCCATTACCTTTCTTGTGGACATGTATCATAATGTATGCTCCTCTTGGGCAGGTGGTCGGGGAGCAGCAAAGTTAAGGCTTGTCTCTAGCTTCTGTTTCTTTCTACTCTATGTTAACAGAAACAGCTGTTGTGTCAATACGCTTCTGTCTACTCTAACTCCTCCACTTTGTTGAGCTCATGGGGTGGTTTGAGGTTGCCACTGATAGGTCACACCTGAACTTCCCTGTTTTCTTTCCTTTCACGACTTGTGTTTGTGGTCTATCTCCTAGCATTATCTGACAGATATTGTCTCTATGTGCCTGTCTTTACTCTTCACCTCAGACTGAGTAAAGGTAGCAACTCACTCCTTGTCTTTCCGTAGTTTGCGGGTGCTTTGATGTAGTTTGCTCCTTCTTTCCTATCAACTTTCTATTGTCTTTATTTATCCCTCCTCCGCTCTGGTGTGGTTTGCTCCCTCTTACTTCTTTCCGATCAAACATCTGTCTTCCTTAGTTCTCCTCCTTTTTTGTGTATGTTACTCTCTTGTAACACGTCCATTCTTCAGCACTTATATGAATCTCTTGTGTTGCAAGTGCTGTAAAACTCTTACGAAACTTAACTTATCTCTCCTCCCTCTTATTTGTGTTTGTTACACTCTTGAAGCACCTCTAATCTTTGGCTTGTATGATGGTGTTGCAAGTGCTGTAATACTTTAACTAAACCACGGCTGTTTGTCTGTCTGTCCCCCCAGGTACGACAATGAGTTTGGCTACAGTCACCGTGTGGTGGAGCTCATCAAGCACATGTACGCCGTGGACTCCCAGTAATTCACTTACTTTTACTTCCACACAAGAAAAAACTTCTCAGCCTGTTGCTTTTCAAACTGATCTAGGGGTTCTCTTCGCTGTCAACGCTGGGGGCATCTCTTTTATCGGAATTTTGAAATTGCACTTGAGACTGGGTCCTAGTATTTTGTACATTTTTGCATCTGACTGAGAGTGAGAATGTTTGCAAACTTGCAGAAATACTCGAATGTAGGGGAATGTATGAATTCACAAGGTGAAGGTCAACTCGACTTGTGCCGGTTGCCATGTGATCGGGGGGTTGTCTCCTGCTTTTGATTTCTTTTGTGGTCTTTGGGTAGATGATGACATTCATAGCAGAGAAAGCCTGCTAGTGTATCTGATGAGCAAGTCCATTTTCTACTCAAACGTTGTACATTTTTGGTTAGATCTGTTGGAATCTTTTGTTGCTTCAGGAACATTAGAGAAGGAAAGTGATCTTGTCGTCGGGTAGAATACTTAGGCATAACTTTAGGTGTACAATTGGTGTTGTTGGGAAAGGAAATATGCGGACACATCTCAGTGTTGTAATTTGCCTCTAGTTACTATTGGCATTTGTCTTTATTTTACTTTGCTTGAGTGCTGTGATTTTAATTTTCATCATGATTAAATCTCTAGCTATGAATGCATTGTCGTTGTAGCTACTGAGAGTAGGATTGTTATCAAGTCTCTTAAATCTTTACTACTCAATTCCCTCAGCCCTGTGTTAGTCTTATGTTTTGTATGAGATTTCATCATTAAACATTCGTACTATTAAACATTTCATCTTTGAGTTCGTCCTTTTATGTTAGTTTTGTTGATTTTGCTGTCGGTGGCAGCTTGCATTTCTCTTTCTCTTTCTCTCTCTCTCTCTCTCTCTCTCTCTCTCTCTCACACACACACACACTCATACATATATGTGTGAGCACATTGTGATTTGTAAAGTTTGTGATCGTTGTGTTGCTGCCAGTCTTACAACATTGTACTGAAATTAAAATACGGTCTGTGGAAAAGATTTTGTGATCCCAACGGTCTAACCAACTCATTCGTAGCCAACTAAATAATCACTAGCTAGCAACTGGGATAAGAAGATGTAGTGATTGAGCTCTTTACCTCTGGCACAGAAGCTACAAAGTTTCGTTCCCAAAGAAAGGGTATAATTACCACCATCTCTCTGCTGAGATGTATCCCACCTGACCGCCAACTACGATGCGTTAGTCAGGCACTTTTTTACCATCGTACGCAGGAGTAGATCTGCCGAGTTGACTTCCCCAGTGGGAAAATTTTTTATAAAGTAACTTCCACTTTCCACTGGGATATTGTTTCCCTCTGTCTGCTGGGAAGTTGTGTCCGTCTCCCTCTCAGCCCAGATTAGCCCTGTCTGGCACGCCTTCTCAAATCTATATTGGTGGGTGGTTGGCAGGTGCTCTGGTGTGGTTTGCTCCTTCTTTCCTATCAAACATCTGTCATCCTTATCTCTCCTCCTTTTTTGTTTGTTTGTTACTCTCTTGTAATAGCTCTAATCTTCTGGCGCTCATATGACCTTATGCAGTTGCGAGCGCCGTAAAACCCCTACTACACTAAAACTAAAAGTCCCATCTGTCATAGGTATTATTATATATATAATATAGGTGGGGATGAAGTTGTCTGCCTTCCTAAATTCTAATTGCTGCTGAAGAGAGCTTTTTACTATACACATACATGAACAAATTTCCAAAGAATTATCGTGTCAGATCTTTAATAATATGTAACTGGATTGGTTACATGCAGTTGTAAATCGCACAATATCAAATCACTTACAATCGTTTGTAAAAAGCACACTAAACATATACAAAGGAATTATAAAATTTGATCAAAGTTAAGAAAACTTGAAACAACCTCAAGCTTGCATAGAAGACAAAACACTGAATACATCACTTTGTTCATTGACCTTTGCTAATATTTTTGCTCTTGGTTGATAAAAACATCCATATTGCAAGCTCAGAACTTGTCTTAGCCATCTTTTCAACTGACTGTAGAAGGAAGTTTCAATCTTTCACAACTTGCCAACATCCACACAGTTCTTCCTTGCCCCATTTACACTGAAGCATATAACCCCACTTTTGGATTCAAATTGTTATTGCAAATGGTCGCTTTGAAGGACAAATGGGCTAACCCAGATTTCGAGGTTAGTTCCAGAAATCTTGACCTACACCAAAAGTGGTCATTGCCCTACCTATAGAACAAGTTTGGCTTCATTGGTGTGTGTATATTTGTTTGGTTATAGAGAAAACTCTCCTTGTCTTTTAAAGAAACCGAACAAGGTGCAAAAACTTTACCTTCCATTTTCTGAAAACATTTTTTTGGGATAGCTCCCTTGAGCTTAAAAGCAACCAAATAACATTCATCATTTGTACCAATATCTTCAGAACCACTAGCTGCCTACATTTTAAAATGTGTCATTAAATTAAACAAACTGCTCATTCTGGGAAGAACACGGTGCATACATACAGTCTCAGAAACTCTTTTTTTACACCGTTCATTTTCACATTCACATCACTGCACATCATTGTGAGTATATATACGTAAAGAAATCGTCAGTGAGATATTTGATAAAGTCGCCACTTGTCCCTGGCAATAGAAATAATAAATAAATATTTTTAAAAAACATGCTGAAGTTGAGTACATCAAACATGGCTCAGATCTCACTCTCAGGTCTGCAGCTGCCACAAGACTTTTGTCTTTGAACAACGAAAAATGTCACAAAAACCTGAGAATACTGAGATGGCCTCATGGAGCACGCTGAAACATGCTAATGATTAATAGATCGTATTTGTATAAGCACAAATTCCCGCTCAACAAGCTCTGTGCGTTTCACAATCTAAACTATTACCCCATCAGACCTGACAGCATTATAAACCAATCTCAACTTCCTGGGAAGCATACATACAGTACAAACAATCTTCCATTTTGTAAGCGCTAAAACATGCACAACCAAATACTAACATACTTTCCCTGAATCTGTATTTAACACACACACTTATTATACTATTACTATACATATGTACTAGTCTGATAAAAGACTCGGGTAGATCTACCCCGCACAAAGCTGTAGAGTATCCCGCTCAGTGACCTACTCCTGTAGATATATATAGCCTACCAAGGTCATGTCATAGCATCAGTACGGTCAATACTGAAACTTGTATTCAAGATTTTAAATTAAATGTCAAAACGCGTCTCATCAGTAGAATATTCGATCATACAACTTTGACAAAGTCACATTGTTCACACACTCCATGAAACCTGATCGGACGACATCACCATGGCAACATTCTCCTTCTCTCATCATGTGTACTTGCACTGTGTAGAACAGATGACAGGCATACATTGGGGGAACTTCTGATTTCTCTTTCCTCATCCTTACTATCATCATTTTTCCTCTACTTCTTTTGTATGCTTGTCACTCTCTCGTATACTGCTATTTCCGGGGCGCCTTGAAAGTCGAAGCAGACTTTGTGCTGTTGAGGCTAGAGAGGTGAGCAGATTAAACCTGATTCTCCGTTTGGACTTCTCTGTTGACATCCACCCCTTGGCGCTCATATGACCTTAGTATGCAGTTGTGAGCGCTGTAAAACCTTACTAAAACAAACAAACAATGAAACACACTGTCACTTGACCAGTGTCTGCGGTGTAGCGCTTTGGTGATTAACTGTCACATGCAGGAGAACCCGGTTCGATTCCTGAGTGAGGAGAATTTTTATCAAATATCTGGGTCTTTTTACTGAGTCCTTGTTACGGTTGTACCCCTCTCAGCATCGATTTGGCCTCAAAAGGCAAGGTCAAAATCCTTCTCTTAAATTACCTAAATTGTGTCAGAAACACTGACATTGACATTTAAAAAAAATACACAAAAAAAAGCCTTTCATTTATCATGCATACAATTCTGAACTTCCGCTTTGTGAGATCTGCATAAAATACATTCACATTGCACAGTTTTGTGCAAAGATCACAAGTACAGTTACACCCAGTAAAACTGTCCCCGTAGTTTTAAGCAAGAAAAATTTTGAAATTATGCAAGCGGAGCCCAAAAATGTGAAATTATGCGATTCTATTAATTTTAACAAAGAATGATAAAGGAAAATAATAAGAAATTATGAAAAAAATGATCAAATTTTGCCAAATTATGCGGGGTGCATAAAACCACGGGGACAGGTAAAAGGAAAAGTAATTCTGGTGGTTATTGCAGCAGTTTGAAACAAACAAAAACCTCAACATTAAAAAAAAATGTAATGTAAAGAGTTCCTCAGTAATGATGTCATCTCAGTCAAAACTGGCCCAGGTTTTGACACGACATTTTGAGATGAAGATATATTGAAAAGAAAAGGAAACTTGAGAAAAGCCGCTTATTTGACTTTTCTAAACATGTACATAAATATGTGAGGCAGCATGGTGAAATCAGGCGCTCGTCAAAATGCTGAATTCAAAGCACTTTTCCGCTGTTCAGCAATTTTTTTCTCGAATTTTTTGTTTTTTTACTCAACACCTTAATTTTATGTCAATTTGAAAAGACATTTCTGAATGGAAATTACTGAAAAACGTTGATTTTTGTAGATTTTCAGATATATAATATATGTAAATTTTCAGTTTCCAAAATCTCTCAAGTAAAGGAAGATACCGAACTTTAGCAGCCATTTTCTCGCTAATTTTACCTCGGAAACCAAGCAAGCATTACCTCCTTCAATTGCAAATATCTCAAGTTCTATTCAAGTTAAAAATGTGTTTTTTCACCACATGCAAGACAAATGAACAAGCTGTAATAGATGTTACCAACAACTCCATATGCCCAAAAACTGACGAGCACCTGATTCCACCGCGTTGCGACACGTATGCATTTTTACATGCAATAAAAAAAGCAATAAATAAGCTTGTTTGCCTCCTTTGCAAAACATTTTAAATTACTTTAATAAATGTACAGAAAAGCCTTTTCACTTTTTAATGAACTTTCACAGACTAGAAAAGATCAGTGTCTGTGATTTAAGGGTTGGGTTGCTCACCTTTGAAGCAGAAAATATACGTTTGATTCTTGAGTCTGGTACTTCATTTCTATTGAGTATCTCCACCTGACTGCAGGGACGTTGTGTCCCACTCAACATATGGTGGCCTTGACAGGCTGGGTGGAAGTAGCCTGACTGCTAAATGGTCTAAAATGTGTCTCTATAGAGGTGCAAAACATTTATTATAATCTTTTTGAGCAGCGGGTCTAAGCACTTAATTCTAGACTGTACTATACTGTGTATATACTGATATACACAAAACGTACTACTATTAATAAACTTGGTCTGCACTATAATTTAGACATAGGAATACAATTCTATGCATACATCTAACCCTCTCTGTCTATGGCAAGTTTTGCAGGTAGAAAAGACTAATCTTGATCTGGAAAACTGAATCCGGACAAGTGGTGGATGGAATCCATAGAAACGTCTTCTTTAGACTACTAGTCCAGATCCAGATAAGTGGATGGTGAAATCGACTGAAACGTCTTATTTAGACTAGTCTTTAGCCCAGAGCCAGACTACTAAGCCTTGTTCTATTCCATCAAAAATAAGAAAAAGGATCAAGATTTGGCAAGAACTTACTGAACATGAGAAGTCAATGCACAAACTATCATTTTTTAAATAGAAAAATCATGGTTTTGTGGCAAGGAAGCAAAGATCCTTCCATGCCACAAAACCATAAGTTTTCAATTTTAAATAATTTTTCATTGGTGCAAGGAACATTGACCTTTTATTTTCTGTAAGTTCTTGTCAAATCTTGATTTTTTTTGGGGGCCATTTTTGATGGAATAGACCAATATATCTTCTTATAAGTTATACAGTTGCATTTTTGTATGCAGACCTACTTTTAGAAAGGCTTAAGATTGAAAGATTTTTTCCCTCTTTAGATCTTGTAAGTTAAATGTGACAAAGCATTCTTCTCAAAACTGATGTAAGAAGAGGTAAGTTTCTAACCTTCACGGGTTGCAATTTCTCTCTAAAAAAATCGATATCCTCTTCGTTTTTTGTAACCAAACTTGTAAATCAAAACTAGCAAGACGGGGGCTAGAACGAGAAACACAATCTGCTTGTAGCTCCACGGCTGCTCGGGGAACAGCGACACCTCCGTGTCGTCCGTGTACGTCAGCCGGAAGGAGACCATTCTCTCCGTCCCTATGGTGTACTGACTGGCCCGGTTCAGCACCATCGTGAGAGCGGACATGTCGTAGCGGTGACACCCCGTTGTTCTCGGGCGCCGGATGTCGAAGCATCCGCTGTAGCGCGCATGTTGGGGACTTATGCAGTCTTCGTTGAGTGCACACTTCAGCCACGGCTTCATCAACTCATTCCAAGTGGTCTCCGTTCTGTATAAAACTATTGCCTCTGGGCTCAGCAAGCTGCACTCCTTGAATGTGCATCGGTTCTCGTTGACGAACGTGAACATGTCTCTGTCCGAGTACGCCACGAGCGACGTGAACAGCACGTGGTCCCACACAAAGTAGCTTCGCGACCCACGCATGCGCAGATAGTTTGGAGACGACGGGTTTTTGAATCTGGTTGTTGGTTCAACATACATTGCAGATCCATGTTCCAGTAATACGTTCTGCAATACAATGGGTCGCCACGCATAGGTCTCCCTGAAGGAGACGTGACGAGGGAAACTCTCATAGTCAAAATCCCTCACTTCACAATGGCCGTATTTCTTCAGCTGCAATTATATAAGAAAGGTGTAGGATTAAAATTCACTTGAGTTTGAAGAACGGCAAAAAACAACTCAGCTCTCTTCAACTGAGATACATTAGAAGTAGAAGTTAAGATAAAAAAAGGAAGAAAAAAATCAACAAAACATATCATAAGGAAATAACTTATATAAGGTATTTCATACGGCAATGTTCAGACACATTGAAACAAAGATACAAAATGAAAATACCCCCAAGACAAACAAAATCAATTAGGCTCTTTACTGATTTCGACAGGAAGATTTTTTTCACAAAGACCACTGTCACACATTAATCCACAACATGATAACAAACATTCAAACAATATCGTTGCAAGGCAGCGTCCAGGGAGAAAGGAGCAGAGGCAGACCGAAGAAGAGTTGGGAGGACAACATCAAGGAATGGGCAGGTCTTGACCGCAAAGACACGCTCTAAAAAGCTGAAGACCGGAAAGAGTGGAGAAAGCTGGTGGCCAAATCTTCAAAAGCCCCGACGGACATCCAGTCTACGGGATAGGGGAAGTGAAGGTGAATAACTTCATTGCCGGTACTGCTAGTCCCTGTTATTCAGCAAGCATTGAATGGTACCGGTATGTCTTACTCTGACTCAGACACTCTGATGACCACCCTTCTAAATGCAGTCACGTCAACCTTGCTTGGACTGGCGTCTGTCGTAGCATAATAGACGCAAATTGCCATCGCATGTAGAAGTCCTGAGTTTGATTCCTATGTGGGGAAAATTTTAAACAGTTTTTCTGTTGGGGCAGTGTATCCCTTTCAGCCTGGAATTGGTCCTGACAGACAGGGTTGAAGCCAGCCTCCTAAATGATCTAATTGTGTCAATGGGCTCACAAGACACCTAACTGTACATTAACGCTCTCGTTATTTTCAATTAAAAACTAGGATTGAAAATGTGAAACAGAATAAAATTATGTAGTAAAATGCCCCTTGATGTTTTATACAAGTGACAGCTTTATGTGGAGATTCCCAGAAACTGATTTGGTCAAATGTGGAATGACGTTGATGATATGTCAATGCCAGGACACATAAACTTGGCACAGTCCCATTTATGAGTCTCCTGAAAAAAGAGAGTTTCACTCACCAGTTCTCTCTCTTTCTGGTAAAGTCCTAAGTCGTACACTATGAGCTGCACGTCCGAGTGGGTGGGCTTTATGTCCTCTGCAAGGTGATGGATGAGACCCTGCAGCTAGAAATGAATTTGAAAAAAAAATGCTAATGTTACTGACAGTACAGTGGTTGAAAGCGCAAACTCTATAACAATAATGCTGAAGTCAAAATCAGACATTTTTTCCAGCACAGAAAAGGTTTTCAGTTTTTTCTCAAAGTTTGTTCTTTTCCTTCTTTTTCTTACGGAGATGCAACACCAATTATTGCAAAGCTATAAATATAAATATATACATACGTATGTTTAGCTACTTGCTTATTTCTTACACTTTTTCCATATCATGTAATGACAGATTTGTGCCATCTACTGTAAAGAGGCAGTCACTCGTAAGGATCGTTCAGAGATCATGTTCATTAATGTTTAGGAAAAAACTATACCAAAGTTCAGATGAAATGCACTAGGAGGAACTTCGGAAAAGTCATCTGAACTTTATAAAAAATGTTAATGCCAAGCCCCGTTGATGCACAAAGGGTAGTATTAAAAAAAGAATACTAGCAGCTTTTGTATTTGTAGTACAGTGGAGTCCGCTTAAAGTGAACATGCTTTATTTGTACAATTGGTTAAAGTGAACGATATTCTGTGGTTCCGATTGAAACGTTATTTGTATAAGTAAAAAAAATAGTGGATAAAATGAAAATGTTCACTTTAAGTGAACTATACGGGTTTCCCTAATTATACCTATTGCATGCTCCAAATCATACACTGAACAAGACAACCATTTCTCTCCTCGACAATGAGTGGCTGTCTTGGGCAATATATTTCCTCTATATCACAACAACAAACCTGGTAAAACTGATCTGACGTCACACCGGTGACTAGAGGCGGCAAAGTGTTAGATTCCATCGGAAAATCTTCTACCGAAGACGGGGGCTTCAGTCGGGCCAAATAGGCACTGGCATCTCCGTATGTGTAGTTCTCCAGCTGAACCGGGGAGAAGAACAAAAACATCAGTACAGTCTAGTCCAGATATATCAAAGCCTTAGGTAACAGTTTGCCGTTTATATGAAAGAATTTGACTACATCTCCTTTTCTCAACTAACTGAATCCATTATAAACTAGAGTTTTACAGAAAGGAAATTGACAGATATCTATAATGTCAAGAAATCAAATAAAACCAAGTTTTCTTTTTCGGAGGAAAAATAAGTCAAAGAACGATGAAGAAAAAGCAAATTCTTACGGAGACAAAAGCAAAACCTCAAATTCAGGTTATCAGTAAACTAGTATACCCATAACATGTTTTCAGTGTCTAGCTATTGGGGAAAAAAATAGGGAAAACTGTAAACAAAAAGATATAACTTAGTTTTGAAAGTGAGGTTTTCAAATTGTCTTCGTATTTGTTGCATTGTAATGCGACGCATCAAACCAATGAGCAAAGAAAAGGATACTAGAAATGTCCATTGGCTGTACAAGTTGAGGCTGAGAACACGTCTCCAATATCTTGGAACAGAAGTGCTTATTATCTCTCATTACATTTAAGCGGGTAACAATGTAACTCAGTATGTATGTAGTATAGGGATTTATACAGCGCTCGCAACTGCTAACAGATCGAAGAACAAGCTACTGAAAATTACCTACTTAGATTTCACTGATTTTTTTCTAGCTTCTAGCTGTTAACAACATAGACATCACCTTCCACATTCAAAAAGAAATTCACAAATGTTCTGTTCTCACGTGATTTTTTTTCGTGTAAAAATACAACTTTGTATAAAGTTATTCAACAAATACTTACAATTTTTAAATTCTCTTCTTTGAGAGTGCTGAATATCTGTCTGCAAGGCCCATCAAGATCACTTTCTTGCTTGATGCGGGCATAGAGAATGCTGTACGAAACAACTAAATAGACTAAAGCAGATATCACGATCCAAAACAAAAGAGACATAACAACCATGTTAGAAGTCAGAGGAAATTGCTTCCGTGCCGCTTCCTTTTCTTTTTCAAAGGAATAGTTTGCTTTCCAATGATTTTTCTCGTCATCTTTCTTTTGCTGGGCCAGTTTTCTGTTACTAGATGATGTCTGAAACAGAGGAAAGAAATGTATATAACATAAGATATGAGATGAGATAAGATAAGATAAGATACATCTTTATTGTCCAGATCCTGGCACAATACATTGGATTATAACGAACAATTATTAAATTCACTTTCTATATATATGACCTATATATGTTTTGTGAGGTGACTTTACAAGCCTTACACTGACGCAAGCAACAACGGAAATAACAATAATATTAACATCTCATAATAGAAGACAGCACAAAAAGTAATATACAATTAAGATTTACTACCGTTTATCTCCCTATCTCTCTAGTCTGTGCCCCCCCCCTTTTTCCCCCCCAAATTTTCCTTTCATGCATCTTCCGCTGGATCCCTCCCTCCCTCTCTCTCTCTCTCTCTCTCTCTCTCACTCTCTCTCTCTCTTTCTCCAGCTCTTTCTCTTTTACACACACAAAAATATCTTAATAATATGAAGGCATTACTTTGACTTTGAAACTGAATAACTAATCCACGTGCAAATCACACGTACAAGGAATCACTCACAGTCACAAAACTTTATAATAATTTACTTTTTTTCAATGGAAAACCTCTAGATCTAGACCTTGATTGAGAAAAGCATCTCAATCTGCTGAAAGACACTAAGTGGAAATTAACCTACCGTAATGGCTTTTAGGCTGGTGAGATAGGAGTTCTGCAGTTCCGTCAAGTTCTTCATGTTGTAGCCCTGTTCAGTTATCTTGTGGTCTGCAAGTTTGGTAGACTAAGATCTATTGCCGGTTATGGTTATTTAGTCTGTGTTGTCTCATCGACGTATTTCTCCAGATGTGATATCAAAGACAGTGATTAGTGAACAACCTTTAGCCATGGGGAAAATTATTTCGAAGTTGGATACGCCAGCTTTTAATTTGCTTCGAAAATCTAATTGTTACTTCAGCCAAATGAAACTTAACCGTACAACGCAGCAGCAGCACGCACAAGCATGTAGCCTAGGCCTAGTCTATTCCAGAAACGGAAGTGACCGAGCCGTATTCTATCGGCTATCGAGTACACGCTGGATTCCGAAACAGAGCCTGATTCAACATGAGCTGCCATTGTTTACAAGCGGAGATGTATCCCAGCAACCACTTACACGAGCACCGTCCCTTTGGTCACATGATCAAAATATTTAGTCACATGACAAGGGTCAGAGGTGTGTGTTGTGTGTACTGTGTACTACGCACTACGCAGTAGCACAAGTTACTGTCATGGTGGAAGGTTGACGTCTTTGAATGTCTTTAATCACACAAGTCTTAACCTAAGAAACGAATTAGGCTAGAGAAGATCAAGCTTCACAATGGCGGTGGCCATGTGGGCCAAGTCCGCTGTTGGGACGAACTTGGCGTTTGTGAAGGGTTTCGGAAAAGCCCTGAAGAGTTGGAGAGATGTGATTCAGCAGACCGTTTTGAAAAGAGCACCTCTTCGACAGCCAAAAGTTCCGCAAGTCACTCAGCCATCTGCTAAGGAAAAATGCTTATTTCAAATACGACCAAGCGATCAGCTCAGAGCTACTGAGAGCTTACAGTCTCGTGTTTTTAGTTCACTCTTTTCGCGGACAACATCGAAATCGCTGGCCAGTGAACTTCGGCGGAGAGCTGCGTGTAGGTTGTCCTCCTCTCGGGTAGAGAATTTTCGAAATGTCCCAATATTCTCGCTGATTGGAGTGACCCTGGGTATTGATGCAGCCTCCCTCCTCAGTAGCAACACCGAAAAAGTGATGGAGGATATGCAGGTGAGGTGATAAGCTCTGTAACATGGTAATGGAACGTAATAAATTTACCGTGCTTACGATGACTCCAACTGTGCTGTTTTGTGCAGCAGTGCATTACTTAAAAAATACTAGATATCTAGTCTAGATCTAGATTCTAGATCTAATTACCTGTTCTGTATTGAAATTAAGGAACTCCTCAGACTCTACGAAAGGAGAAGCATCCCGTGTAAAAAAAAATATTCATTAAAGTCAATATCAACAAATAAATCGTGAAAATTTTACTATTACTCCCGAACCCAATTGCAAAGAGGGCTTTACTGATGTACTTATAGATCTAGATCTAGATCTAGATCTAGATCTTGTTCTAGATTCTAACTGCTGCTTACAAAATATTTGGCCTCGAAATGTGTTGCGGAAATGAAGTTTTCGAGATGATATGAATCCTTTGACGACCACAATGTGGCAGATACAGCGGAATGGCTTGCTTAAAAAAATAGCATGCCTCCGTGTTTGTACTGTATAACATGCGTTTTAGGATGTGCCGGAGTAAGGAGAGGTTGGAGGGACAGATAATTCATGATGTGTTGGTTGGTGGTGGCTTTTTGAGTCCCAAGTTTCTTGTCTTCTCTCTCACACCCCCAGGGCCTGTTCTCTGGCTATGGCTGGCAGGCAGAAGCGTTAAGTCGTCCGCCGCAGAGTTTGCAAGACCTTGACATCAGCCTGGAGTCGTTGGCCTCGGGCTGTGAGGGGGCTGTTTACAAGGCCAAGGTCAAGCCTCTAGTCGTCAGCGGTGCAGGTTCGTGGTCATCATTGTTACTGTTTACATATGTATGTATTTTATTCTGTTGCAGTGAGAGAGAGAGAAAGGGAGGGAGGGAGAATGTTCAGAATGTGATCAGGGCATGCCTTTAACTGTTTGGTGTCACGCTCTTGTCATGTTTTCCAGACAACGCCCCTCACAACGAGACAGGGAGGACAGATGAAGATTTTGACCTGGCTGTCAAAGCTGTGTTCAACTACGGAGCAGCTTCAAATGCCGAAAGTCTCTTGAGAGAAATGAGGAGAGAGTACGTGCCTCTTCATATGAAGGAAAAGCCGGAGGACGACATTCTGTAGGTTCAGGTCTTTAGTATCTTCACGAAGTTTTGTTTTGTATTTTCCTGTAGGATTGGAGCATATTTCTAATTGGGATATGTGTGTGTGTGTGCTTTTGGGGGGGGGGGGCGGGGGGCACACCATTCGCCATTTTGTCATGTGTCCCAGTCACTAAATCTCTTCAAGGCTGTGTACTGTGTCCCAAATAGCCTGGCTTGGCTCAATAGTCTAGGTGGGTAGAGCGCGCCAGTAATCCCCAAATCACAGATGTCAAACTCAAGGCCTGCAGGCCGCCCTCAGCTTGGCGATCAGTTGTGTCACGATGAGGTGGAATTTGGTGCTCGGCAATTTTTGGCCATGTGGAATTATTTGTACATGTATCGTCTTAGAGCTTGTTCATTTGTCTTGCATTCTATGAAAAAAATATCCTTCTATCTTGAATAGAAGTTGAGATATTTGCCATTGTAGGAGATGGGGTTGCCTTGTTTCAGAGGTAAAACTAGTGAGAATATGGCAGGCAAAGCTTGGTGACTTCCAAATCTTGAGATTCCTTGGAAACAATAGATTTCCCCTTTTTGTGCCTTTAATCAACGGTTTTCCTGTAAAATCCACACAGAAATGTGTTTTTAAATGGCCACAAAAGGTGTTTTGAGCAAGAAACAAAACAAAAAAAAGAAGACAAAGATTGCCTAACGAGTGGGAAAATGCTGGTTTAATTGATTTCACAGTTTTCACGAGTGCCTGATTTCACCACGATGCCTCACAATTCTATCTGGCCTGCTAGAGAATCTCAGGTTGTCTGTCCTGGGAGATGTCTCCGTTCCTTGCTGTTTTGTTATATTTAGTGGGTCTTGTAACTGTTCTCTTGTTGTGCTCAGGAAGTGGGTGGTTGGCAGGTGCTCTGGTGTGGTTTGCTCCTTCTTTCCTATCAAACTAACATCTATCGCCCTTATCTCTCCTCCTTTCTTATGTTTGTTACTTTCTTGTGACACCTCTAATCTTCGGCACTTATATGACCTTGTTGTGTTGCAAGCGCCTTAAAATTGCTCAGGATCAATTTTTTCGAACGACGATGTCTTTTCTTCTCTCTTTCCCCCGCGCCCTCGTCTTATCTTTTTTATTTTACTTCCCCCTGCTCCTAGAGCGGATCGTGTCGGTCGTCTGCCTCCTCACCCAAACATCGTGGACATGCCAGGAGTTTTCCAGGACGACGTTCTTGTCACGGAGGAAGGGTTGAGGAAGTTCCCGGCTGCGATGCCACGGCGACTGGACCCGGAGAATTGCTGGGGGCGGAACAAGACGCTCTATGTGGTGATGAGGAGGTAGGAGGGAACGGGATAGCACGCCTGGTGGCTGCGTCTGGACTGGTCTGCTTCTTCTACTTCTTTTCCGTCTTTTCTCTCTCTCTTGCCCTTTTTAACTCCCAGTGGAGCACAGGCCATCTACAACATAACTCCCAGTGGAGCACAGGCCATCTACAACATAACTCCCAGTGGAGCACAGGCCATCTACAACATAACTCCCAGTGGAGCATAGGCTATCTACAACATAACTCCCAGTGGAGCACAGGCCATCTACAACATTTCTCCAGCAGCGAAGCCTGTCCTGTGCATCCTTTTCTAGCTGTTTCCATGATGTCCCCGCCTTTTCCATTTCCGCTTGTACCGCTCACCTCCATGTCATCTTTGGTCTTCCTTTTTCTTTTCGGTGTTACTGATCTCTTAAAACCTACTTCCTGGAGAAGTGGCTACCGTAGAATCACAAAGTTCCTATCTGACGTTTTTGGCCGTTTTGAGTGACCAATACCATGAGGTCAGAGACCGAATGTTCTAGCTGCTCTATCAAAATCTTGTAAGATTATTCAGAGTCGTTGGCAAGATATTCACAGAATTGCATTTGAAAAAGCTTCACATGTTGTGAAACGCAAGGTCAAAGCAGCTTGCTTCCTAAATAATAATCATCATAATGATGATAAGAATGATAACCATAATAATAATAGCAATTATACTAATAATGATAATAATTATAATAAATAGCATTTGTGTAGCGCATATCCACACTAACAGCAAGCTCTATGCGCTTTACACGATATCAATGTTGAAAATGATGTCTGATAATTATGCAGATGATGGTATGAAATATTCTCGACAAAGCTCTTTGACTGCATTTATTGAACGCAAATGTCCTACTTGTTCTTTTGAAGTGGGACCAAAATAGTATTGTGGATGCTGGAAGTTAATGTACTTGTAGTCAACTTTTTCTGTACAGAAATTCTTCACGCTGAATTGTCTCTGTCTGTCACTTTGAACCAGACGGAGCAGCCACCTCCGAGAGTACCTGTCCACCAACGAGGTTACCATGGAGACCCGATGTCTGCTGCTGGCACAGCTGCTGGAGGGTGTGGCGCATCTGGAGCAGCATGGGATAGCTCACAGAGACCTCAAGGCTGACAACCTGCTGGTGGATGTACCTCGTGGTGGAGGTGAGAGTTTCCTGGGGGAGGGTGGTGTGTGGGTGTGGGAGGAGGAGGGAGGGAGGGAGGGAGGGAGGTGGAGGGGAGGATGAGAGTTTCCTGGCATCAGGCTGTGTGTGTGTGGGGTGGGGGGGAGGCTTAGCACAATCATCATCAATGCCTCTCACCCCTGGCAAGGTATAGGCCACATACAAGCTCCTTCCATTTATCTCTGTCCTGTGCCGTCCTTCCAAGCTCGTTCAGAGTGAGCTTCATCTATCTCTCTCATGTCCCTTTCCACACATCTCCTCCATGTTTCCCGTGGCCTACCCCTGCCTCGTGCTCCCTGTGGGTTCCTCTGCAGCGATTGTCTTGTGATGTTTCCGCTGGGCTTTCTGAAGGCGTGTCCCATCCATCGCCAGTTTCCTAGTCCTATTTCTACTTCTATATCCTTTTGTCCTGTCCTTTCCTGCAGCTCTTCATTTCTTACTCTATCCTGCCACTGAATTCTTAAGATACTCCTCATACATCTGTTGATGAAAGTCTGGACTTCATTCAGTGCTGTCTTTGGTTCAGCACAATGCAGTTTATATCATCATCATCATCCAGTGCCAGATCTGCGACATACATCGGCGATCATGATTTTCCATTCATTCCTTTGCTCGGATGCTCTCAGAAAAGCTACGTTTCCCTGATCTTTACCTGTTACCCATTTGTTTAGGTTCCCTAAGTATGTTGTTCTGGGCCTACCCCTGCCTCGCTTGCCCTCAATTTTGCCAGTGAGAGCTTGATGTTCAAGACCCTTATGTCTATTCAGGTGTCCCAAAAACTGCATTTGTCGTTTCCTGATTGTTTTATATATTGGTTGTTTTAAAACTTAATGAGTGACTCAATGCTCATGTTTGCAGGGATATGTTAAGGAAATGGCTGTTGGCATGGTGGTATAAGTAGAAGTTGTAGTTGGTTGATTTTACTCTGGTCTTCAGTGAGGTTGCGTGTACGTCGTTTCTCGTGAATTTTCTCCTTTCTTGAAATTCTTGAGTGGCAGTTATGGTTAGTTGAGTGTGTCGGTGATGTGGTCAGTTAGCGGAGGTGAGTGGTTGGCGGGTGCTCTGGTTTGGTTTGCTTCTTCTTTCCTATCAAACATCTATCGTCCTTATCTCTGCTCCTTCTTTTTTATGTTTGTTACTCTCTTGTAGCACCTCTAATCTTCGGCACTTATTTGACCTTATTGTGTTGCAAGTGCCGTAAAACTCTTACTGAAACTAAAAAACTTAGTGGAGTGACCAGTGTTGTGTGTCTCGTGCCAGGCGTCCCAAAGCTGGAGATCTGCGACTTCGGCTGCTGCCTGGCAGAGGAGGACAAAGCTCTCCGCGTGGACTTTCCCTGCGTGGACGTCTACAAAGGTGGAAACTCCTGGCTCATGGCTCCGGAGGTAGGTGGCTTGAGTTGGGTCTCGTTTAGGCAACGCGTCAGCCTCGCAGTTGTGTGTTTGTTATGTACTTGAAAGATCCGAGTTTGATTCATGGGGACGTTTACCGCAAAATTCCTGTTTTTGGTGCAAAATCCCTGTTTTTTGCCTCTTGGATCTGGTGGGAAAAGAGAAGTAATTCTGAAGGGCTGATGCATCATGTCACGCTCATAACTGTGCCTGATCTTCAACAGGGAACTGCTGCTTTTTCTTTCCTGATCCTTACTGTTGTCATTTTCCTCTACTTCTTTTGTATGTTTGTCACTCTCTTGTGACCTGCTATTTTGGGGTGCCTTGATAGTCGAAGCAGACCTTGTGCTGTTGAAGCTAGAGAGGTGAGCAGAGTAAGCCTGATTCCCTGTAAAGACTTCTCTATTGACACCCACCCCTTGGCGTTCCTATGACCTTATGCAGTTGCGAGGGCCGTAAAACCCTCTACAAAATAATATTCAAGTCGTCCATCCTTAACGTGGTCTTACCCTTACTCCAACAACCAATCAGATCGCCACTGCAGTGCCGGGTCGCGGCCGCGTGTTGGACTACAGCAGGTCGGATCTGTGGGCGTGTGGGACGATCGCGTACGAGATTCTCGGGGGAGAGAACCCATTCTACCCCAGCCAGGACGGCGTGCGTCGACAGTTGAGTACCCGGGATTACACGGAGGAGGATTTGCCGGCACTGCCAGGTGTGTGTGTGGGGATTTGTGTTTATTTGTGTGTGTGGGTGTGTATAGGTTTGTGTGCATGTGTATGTGTAGGTTTGTGTGTGTGTGTGTGTGGGGGGGGGGGGGAGAGATTGGTGTTTGTGGATGTATTGGTGTGTGTGGGTTTGTGTATGTGTGTGTGTGAGTTTGTGTATTTGTGGGTGTGTATGTGTGTGTGTGCATGTATGTATGTTCATGTGAGTGTCTGCCCTCCTGTGTTTGTGGTGTAGTGAGTATGCTGTTTACCTTACGTACAAAAGGCGTGAGTGAAATTACCCATGGGAAACTCTAATGACTATCAACGTCTGGAAAACTTACTGTGGGTGGTTGGCGGGTGCTCTGGTGTGATTTGCTTCTTCTTTCCTATCAAACATAGATCTATCGTTGTTATCTCCCCTCCTTCTTTTTTATGTTTGTTACTCTCTTTTAACACATCTAATCTTCTGGCGCTCATATGACCTTATGCAGTTGCGAGCGCCGTAAAACCTCTACTAAAACAAAAACAAAATGAAAACTTACAAGATTGCTGTTCTGTGCCATAAATGTGTTAACAATAAAATCCCCTTGTATTTAAGCAACGACTTTCAATTGTATGTTTGATGGAGATCTCTTACGAGAAAAATGTGGGCGGACGCACCGTTATTATTATAATTACTATTACTATTATTATTATGATGATGATTATTATTAATATTACTTTCTTCTTCTTCTTCTTCTTATTATATCATGATTAATTTTAGTATTATTATGATTATTTATATTTTTATTATTATTATCATGATGATGATGATGATGATTATTATGTTATTATTATCATTATTATTTTATAACCCAATGGTCCATATGCTATGTTGTTGCAGCGTGTGTGCCGGAGGCGGTGCAGAGTCTGGTGTTTGCCCTGCTGGCCCGCGACCCACGGGAGGTGAGTGGGGAGACAGACTTAGCGCTGGTTCTTTTGGTTTTACGTCTGTGTTTTACGTCCGTGTTTTACGTCTGTGTTTTATGTCCGTGTTTTATGTCCGTGTTTTAGGTCAGTGTTTTATGTCCGTGTTTTATGTCCGTGTTTTACGTCTGTGTTTTATGTCCGTGTTTTATGTCTGTGTTTTATGTCCGTGTTTTATGTCTGTGTTTTAGGTCTGTGTTTTATGTCAGTTTTTTAGGTCAGTTTTACGGCGCTCAGAGACTCCCGCGAGGTGAGTGGGGAGACAAACTTAGCGCTGATTCTTTTTTTGTTCTGTCAGTGTTTTACGTTATTATTTTACAGTGGTCAGAGAGCCCCGGGAGGTGAATGGATTCTTTTGAATACTAATTCTTTTTGGTTTTTGCATCTCTCAACTCATATGAGAAAAGCCCACTGCCATTTGCGACTTTTTTCTTCTTTAAAAAAAAAAGTGATATGGGGGGGGGGGGGGGGGGGTTGATAGTTTTATTGGGGTTCCTTGTATATATAGGATGTTTCCTTATATTTTTTTGTCCGTCTGTAAGATTCTCTTGGTTTGATTTGTTTTCAAAATCCAGTAATAACTGAGGAATCGATGAGGTTGTTTTCTTTTTTTCCGACATTGAAGACGTGAACATGGCATTATGGTTTTATAATAACGCTTGTACGAAAAACAACAACAGGAATGTTAATATATAGACTGTCATGGTTATAGGTTCTAGCGAGAGTTTTTGTGGCGTAGTAGTTGTTGGCTGGTCTGCGTAATGGCAGCCTTTATATGGACGAGGGCTGTAGTTGTGGGTGGTTAGCAGGTGCCCTGGTGTGGTTTGCTCCTTTTTTCCTGTAAAAAAATCTGTCGTCTCTATCTCCCCTCCTTCTTTTTTATGTTTGTTACTCTCTTGTAACACCTCTAATCCTCGGCACTTATGTGACCTTATTGTGTTGCAAGTGCTGTAAATCTCTTATAAAAAGAACTTTAGTGACCTCTCTCCTCCTTCCTTCCTCCCCCCCTCTCTCTCCCCCTCCTCATCCTTCTCCTCCTCCCCCTCCCGTAGCGCCCCAGTCCCAGTGTCGCTGCCGCTGTTGTACAGATGGTCGTCCTGGCGTCGAGTCCCGCCAACGTGTCTGTCCCCAAAGCTTGCCGACCTCGTAGACAACCGCCAACCACCCATCCCCGCGGACACTGTGCCGGGCGCGAGCGGGGACGTGGGTACGGGAGGGGCGGTCCTGGCGAGGTCCCGCGTGCGGTGTTGGCGGCACGGCAGGAGAGGGACCGGCTCCAGTGGGTTCTGGTTCAAAGCCTGGCCCTGCTGTGTCAGCTGACGTTTGGCCGAGACCGAGCCGAGGTGTGGGACGTGCCGGCCGTCATGAGGTTCCTCTTCCTGTCCCGCCTGACGCACGCAGACTTCAGACAGGCCCTGGCCTTCTTCTGAATCGGAGCGCTTTGCTGCCGTGTTGGATGGCAGTGGCAGACGGCGAGGACTTGCCAGGACCGCCATAGATCCGACCGGATCTAGACCTCGGTGCTTTTTTGTCCCATTCTCCACTACTTTTAAACAGTGAAAACAGTTCATAACGAAGAGTGAGCTTAAGAAGAAGTCAGTTTTCAATGTGTAAAAAAAAAAATGGAGATACGCCGACAAGAAAGCACTGAGGTCAAGGGATGTGTAGATTATGAAGCGCATGGAGCTTGCTGTTGAGCAGGGATTTGCGCTATATAAATGCTATCTATTATTATTATTATTATTACTATGTAGGCCTAAAGCAACTCTCAGAATGTAATCTATCAAAGTTCTGGATGAGTAGATGGTAGCCACACGTTGCTTTTACTTGATTGCTGTGTTGTTTCTCCCAAACTTCTAAATAGCCCCAGTGCTAGAGAACCTGATTGTTGCACCAAGTGATTTATGCATCTTTACGTTTTAAGATAAGATAAGATAATACTTTATCCCAGAAGGAAATTTTTCTTGGCTGTACAGGACCGTAAAAACACATGCAGATATACATAAAAAATGTAGATGATATATAATTGCTCTCGTTAAAATTCTCTATGAAAATGAAAAGAGAAGTAAAGCTGACAAAATGTTATTACATGATGTCGCATCAGATGCATCATTCAACCACATGCTGGAATTTAATGACAAGACCTTTGGAGTTATATAGATACATACTCTAAAGAGCAATACACATTCTTATTCTGACAATAGCCTTATGCCAGATGGTAAAAAGCTTCTTTCATATCTTTCTTTGTTTTTGGAGGTACATATATGCCGCTGCGTGATCTTACAATTTGCGTGGAAAGGGGTTTTGATGGGTCGTTTATAATGCTTGTAGAACTTGACTCCAACATGCTTTGCATTTAGCACGTTAGAAAGTTGTGACACACTTTCAGAAGGTCTGGAACCTGTTGCTCCTGAATCAATACTGGTGTACAACTGTACGTTTTTATTTAGTTGTTTTCCGTTACTGTTGTTCAAAGTAATCTAGATACTAAGAGGACATGATGGGTGGTTGCTTTAATAAGGTTTAACGGCGCTCGCAACCGCATAAGGTCATATGAGTGCCAAGAACATGTCCCAAAAAAATTTAAACATAAAATTGATAAAATATTTATATTTATATCCTGTCTAAAGAGAAAAGCGTTTGGAAAAGGTTGCTTGGGTGGAATAAATACCCAATCGTGTATCTTTGATTTATATGTTATACTTTTAATTTTTGCTGATCTGAGATAGAAGCCTCTTTTGTGCAGACATGTCACATTATTTGTTTTCTTTGTTTCTTTTATGGCAAGAAATGTGCTCCAGAAAGCTGCTCTTGATGATGAATAAATTATTCTGTGGATACAAACATACCAGCATGGCAACTTTTCTGTGACATCATGCTTCCTCTACGGAGTTTTTTAAAAAGTTTTTTCAAGCGACTTTTTCCTTTGTTGTTGGTTTCATCTCCTCTAATGTTTGACGAGGGGGCTCTCGTGGCCTAGATCTCCTCTAATGCTCTGGTGTGGTTTGCTTCTTCTTTCCTATCAAATATCTGTCGTCCTTATCTCCCCTTCTTCTTTTTTGTGTTTGTTACTCTCTTGTAACACCTCTAATCTTCTGGCGCTCATATGACCATGCAGTTGCGAGCGCCGTAAAACCTCTACTAAAACAAACAAACAAAATTTGTTACACTGTCTTTCAATTTGATTTTTATCTGTTTGATATACATGAGATAAAAAAGAAAGATGTGCACTGCAGTAGTTAGCATACTCTTCTTCTCCGTTTTTCTTGAAAGTACTTTTGGAAAGCCTTTGTGTTTTATCAGATGAGAAAGTCTTTCCAAAAAAGTAGTTGCGCGTTGCCCCTTCTTATGATTTATACACATTTCGATGCCTCAGAAGTCACATTTTCACTGTTTAAAAAAATGGAAATACGACAAAAAAGCAATGAGGTCCCGATTTGTTGTGGAAAATTTTAGAATTCCGTCCCAAGAGTATTCTCCTCCGAGACTTCGGCCCCAGAACTTTCTTTGATCGGACTGGTCTGATTGTCGAACTGGTCTGGTACCCCGCACGGCCGTACAGCTCACCATTTTCGTCAAAATCTTTGAGGAGGGTTCTCTTCTGGACATGATTCTACAGTGTTATGTCGGGACTTAGAGTGGGCAGGACATGATTCTGCAGCATTATGTTGGGACGGGGAATGGGCAGGACATGAAGGGGACATTGGCTGTGAACCTGTCGCGTTTTTCAGAAAACAGAAAGTGAAGGAGATTGTCACTGTTCTGTCGAGTTTTTTCTGAATACAAAAAGAGATTGTCACTTTGCCCGACAGCTGAATTTGTACATTTGATAAACTAGATGTTGTAGGTGTGAAATAAGCTGAGTAGTCTCCCTCAAAGCAACTGAATGTGTTGCACCCATCTTGTGCTTTAAAAAAAAATTAAAGTCGAGTTTCTTTCAGAGGAAGTTGCAGTTTATGTTTTGTTTCTTGTCAATTCAGACTGTATGTTACTATAAGACAGATGTGTGGGTGGTTGGCGGATGCTCTGGTGTGGTTTGCTCCTTCTTTCCTATCAAACATCTATCGTCTTTATCTCCCCTCCTCCTTTTTGTGTGTTTGTTACTCTCCTCTTGTAACACCTCTAATCTTCGGCACTTATGTATAATGACCTTATTGTGTTTCAAGTGCTGTAAAACTCTTATTATTAAAGTTAAAAAGTTAAAGACAGTATGTTACTAAAAGACAGACGTGACACCTACCGTTTCTGAAGGATGTCAAAAGCTGCTCACCGTTTGTCTGTCTGACGTTCTGTCCCCGTGGTTTAAAAAAAATAATTATGCAAACTGAGCCCAAAAATGTGAAATTATGCGATTCTGTTAATTATAACAAAGAATGATAAAGGAAAATTATAAGAAATTATGCAAAAAAATGATGGAATGCTGGGTGGTGTGTTGGTAATCGCATGAGGTGTTCGAACCATCGTGGGGACATAAACCCCAATAACAACTTTTTGACACTCCACATGCAGGCTAGAACCTCGGCTCACTGTCGTTTCTCCTCTCCAATAAACGCAAGATAGATCTATGATGACAATGTCGTAGAACGAAATCTGTCAACCAGAGAGTAGAGGTGGGCAAAATCCGGATAATCTGTAAGAATAACCGGATAATTCTCAAGGAAGCATTATCCGAATTCAGACTCTTTTAACTCTCTTGCCTGACCCGTTTGCCTGACCCGTTTGCCTGACCCGTTTGCCGAAGTGGGTGCTCCCATTTATTGAAGTAATGCTAACTAGAGCTGGGCGAAGAATCAAATCCGGAACCGATTCCCACGATTAATGCTACGGAAGAAAAGTTCTGACTCCTTTTTACGCAAACCAACGGTTACCAGGTACCTTAATTATTAAAATCTTCGCTCTTTTTTAAAAAGAATTTATTTAAAAAAAAAAAAGTCGATGCTTCTTAGAGTTCCAAAATGAAGGTTATCCTAACTCCTGAAGATGTTCGGAGCCCACCAGGTAACAATCGGAAGAAAGCACATCCTTGGGAAGCAAGTCATTGGGTTTGGAGTCCATTCTTACGATTCCTACTTGCTTTTATTATAATCGGGAACCTAGCCGCCCAGCACTAAAATGCTAACCTGTTTGTTGAAGTGGTTCTAACCTATTTGCCGAAGCGGTTCATATCATATTATTTGCTGAAGAGGTGCACTAACATATTATCCGGATTTTGCTAAAGCGACTCATTGCCCAGCCCCACCAGAGACCCATGGACACACGCGGGACATTGTGAGAACTGCTGGTGGTGGCAGGGAAGTAATCCATGTTACTGTTAGAACGACAGTGCACAACACAATATTTTTCTGTTACTTCCCTTCGTTGATCATTTCACGAGTGAGTCTCGCGCGCTCTGGAACTTGGTCGCTTGAACTTAAACTTAAAAATGTTTTTTATGGTGAATTAATTTTCTTGCATATATAAGTAATTTTTTTTCTTATAAAATTAAATAGGCAGCAGACCAGCTTTTGTATTTATGCAAACAAACTACCACACACACACACTTACAGTACACACTCACACACTTACAGTACACACACTCACACACACACACACACACACACACACACACACACACACACACACACACACACACACACACACACTTACAGTACACACACACACACTTGTAGTACACTCACACACACACACACACACACACACACACACACACACACACACACACACACACACACACACACACGCACATTCTTGCTCACACTCACACATTCATCACATAGATATCTACACTTGATACACACAGTCACCTCGTACGCTGGGATCACAATATGCAGCGACTTACCTTACTACACACAAACAATTTACACTAAATCACATTTTAATGCATGTACACTTATTCCTCTTTTTTTAGGGGGGGGGGGGGGGTTGAAAACATGGGATAATAACCATGGAATAGGAATTGGAGAATTACCATGTTTATTGATTAAACAATTATAATGTACTCATAAAATATTAAAGATAATAGATGAAAAGTCAAAAAAGATAGAAAACGATTCTGATTCTGTGTGTTTTATAGTTATAGTCTGAACACAAACTACATATTATTATAACTGTAATATAAATATTATATGCTAAATTTCAACCTAATAATCTTGATTGAGACATTGATTATATATGAAAATTATTTATTAATTGTACTGTCCCCGAGGTTTTATGCAAAAAAATAAAAAAAATCTGAAATTATGCAAACAGCCCAACAATGTGAAATTGTGCGATTCTGTTAATTTTAACAAAGAGTGATAAAGGAAAATAATAAGAAATTACGCAAAAAAATGATCTAATTTTGCTAAATTATGCGGGGTGCATAAAACCCTGGGGACAGGTTGTAGGTCTTCCTAATTAAATTATCAAATGTCTTTACCCCCCCCCCCCCCCAATGATATCTTAACTATTAAAAACTCGGGTTAATACATTATGGAGATTATATATATATATAAATATTATGGAATATTGATGACAAAATGTAGAAGTAAGGTAGACATCGAAAACTCACATTCTTGGGTATATATTGTAATTTTACAAATCAGGAATCTGTGAATAATTCGTTCAAACATACAGACTCTTCATACCTTTGTTCAAAGATACAAACTTTCCATATCTTGGTCAAAGATACAAACTCTTTAGATCTCGTACTTCTTCATTGTTTTGGACATATCAGAAAAAACCAATCTCACTTCTCGTAAGTCTATGAATTCATGCCCTTAATTATCCTGCATAATAATAATGTAGTTAACGATGATCTAGAAGTATCAGCTCATTGAAACAAGCTGTGCCCCCAGAGTGTCCATTTTCTGAGAATAAACCAAAGGACGACCGATGGTAACCAAAAGGTAAATTGTTTCAAGGAAAATATGACTATATTTTAAAACAAATTTCTTTAAAAATATGTTTGTGAAAGTATTCATTTTGTACATTTATCATTTATGTAGAGTTTTCAGAAAAGAAAAGACGCTACGTGGCCCACTTTAAGTTGAAGGGATCTGCTGATCGAGCAAAACTTTGGACCCCCTGGCTCTGCTTTAGACACATCTCACATTGCTCAGGTCCTCAGTCTCCTCAGCTTTCTTTTCATCTTTTTCCTTTTCCGAGTCCATCTTTTCCTCAGCTCCTTCTTCTCCTCCTCCTTCTCCTGCTTGATTTCCTCCTTCAGCTCCGTCCTTCTGTCCATCCAGCTCAAACTGACCACTGGCCACTATTGGTCCAGCCAGCCCGGAGTCCTGTGTCCAAGCCTCGTTCTCAGCCAGGTCACGTGTCACCATGGGGCCCAGGTTGTCTTGGCTGAGGTAGAGAAGAAGGTAGGCGTCGGTGGGTAGGGATGGTCTCGCCGCTACCTGACTACGGCATGTCCCCATGGTCAGTCTGGACAGCCAAGTGAGAAAACTGACCACTGAGACCACGGTGAGAATCAAGAGATAGACGAGGAGGCCAGTGAACAACGCGTGATGGCCAAGCTGTGAGCGACGACTGGTGTCTGTTGGGGAGAACAGACATTGCATAACGTAATCGTGATGGTTTGACATTTGTCGAATGGTGAAAAAACAGGGTAAAATTTCCGACTGTTGCTGTATGGGTTGTCTTGAGCCAGTCTCAGCGAAGACCTGGGGCAGTATCCTTGTACTCAGAACGATGGACTCCAGAACTAGGACAAGGGAGCTGAAGAACTTGTAGAACAGATACGACACTGTGGCTCGATGTGGGCAGTCCTTGAGAGCTTTATCAACAGACTGGACCAGATCGGTGGTCACCTGACGTTTTGTGTCCGTCTGAAGGTTCTGGGCGTGGTCAGCTATGTGCAGAGTTTTCTCTATGTTGACCGGACAGAAAGTAAACATGAGGTACCAGACCAAGTGGGGTAACTTGATGAGTAGAGCAAAGACAAACAGAAGAAGTGGGGCGGTGACGGAGGCGAAATGTCGGTGGTTGGTGTTGGGGGCGGGCGTGGAGGACACATTGGCTACGTCCTCGTCCACTTCAGACATTCTCACCAGCCTACGGCCGTGTGGGTTCCAAAGATTCTCTTCCAACGTCCCTCTTTGGAAGGCCTCAGTGTACCACTTAGAGCAGACGCTGTTGGCATACTCCACTTGGCTGGACTCAAACTGGGCGGGGCACCAGCACTTTGCTTGGAAAGTCGGCGTTTCTTCTCCGGAGCTTATGACCAATGGGCTGGCAGCTAGTAACCACGTGACAAGAGACAGGAAGAAGAGGAGGCTCACGGTCCATGTGTGGACGTAACGGTCAGTTGAGTCCTCGCCCAAAGATCGTTGTAGGAAAGGCATGTCGGTTCTAGTTTGACCACTTCCGCTGAAGTCAGATGCTGTAAAGGCAGACGTAGAACAAGGTCATAAATCAATGGAGAGTTGGAAAAAAACCCACACAGCTTTCTTCTTGTTTAAATCTTCTCAAAGTCAGCGTGTTGGAAACTGAATATGGCGAAATCATTATCTTCGGACCTCTGGCTGGGTTCTCCCAGATTTGTGTGCGTTGATTTCATGTCAACACTTCTGTGTGATGTCACAACCATACCCTGGTATGTTGATTCAATGTTAAAATTACTGCCGTGTAGGTTTTACAGCAATGTTTCAGACAAGGATTTTTTAAAAAGTTCTTACACTTTTAACTTGAAAAATGATGGCAAGAGCGCGTTATGGAGAAATGTGCAGAATTTACAGTAACATGTTCATACAGTCGATTTTGTTTCTCACAGTCTTTGTGAAAACCGCAAACACATCTCTCTATTTCAAGGGGCAATCGAAAGGAGAGGAAATGAAATGCAGTAAATATTTGGTTCCATTAACTGAGAAGTTTGTAAAACAGAGCAGCGTGCGAAGCGTGAAATGAGAAACGCGTAAACATTCTTCCAAGGGAATGGTTGTAAGAGATTACGTTTTGAGAAGGCAGCAACACATTGATGAGTAGGTAGGGAAAAATTTTAAACAGAAGTTCTAATGAGGAACAGACTTTTAAGGTAAATATTACCTATTACGAGCATTTCTTCCCACCACCCCTAACATACTAGATGAAGAATTAAGATAAATTTGTTTATCATCGATAGAGGGTTCGGAAAAAATCTGTTTCTGAATTTTTTGCCTTGTCATGGTCCGCCATGATTGCAGAGAACCCACGTCATCACTGCTCTACTTGACGGCTATAAATAGCGACGCTTGGTATGGGAAATAATCCTCCTACGTTTGTGGTGTAGTGGTTAGAGACGTCAGTGTGGCATGTAGAAGATATGGGTTCGACTCCTGGTTAGGGAAGATGTAATATTATTCTAAGGGACATCTCCGCATGTTTGTGATCATGATGTAGCCCAGCCTGCCCCGATCTGCTCTGACAGGCAGGTACAACTGGCCAGACTCCTAAATAATCTACCATTAGTTCGTCCATCAATTTCTGACCACACACGGAAGAATCAGTCTTGGGTCTGACCATGGCTAATGTATCTGCAGGGGTCAATATTACATGAAGGGGGAAAAAGAAGAAATACGGATACTGAAAAATGATATTTAAGCTGTTTATTTTATAGTTGTCAAAACATTAATAAATGTGTTAATAAAGAAGAAATGATAGCAAATGAAATATTGTAAACCAAAAGCGAAGGTAACTACAATAACAGTCCAAACAAAACACTGATACTGAGATTAAAGAAATGAACTGTATCAAAGTTATGAGGAAAAATATTTTTATATGATTGGTTAAATATTAATATAATTAAAATACAATGTTATAAAATTTAAAAACAAATGGCCATTAATTGTAGTTAGCACTGTGAATGCTGAAATTCTCGTGCAGTAATAAAAAAATCGTGAATGGCCAAAAGTAAATACCGTTGAATTTGTTCTCACATGATTTTGTCAGGTATACAATATTACCCCCACATTATTATATTGTAAAGAAAATTGCCGATTTCGAAGCACTCATCTAGATCTACCAGTTTGATCCTTTGAAAGTGTAATAGGAACGACAGGTTATGACAGTGCTATCCGAGAAAGTCATTGAGTTCTATTTTGATTTTTCCATGTCGTTCTGGAAAGGAAGTAATGGCTTTCGTAATGTTGACACATCTTTGTTGATTATTACTTTGGACAAGATTTCTGAACCTATTGTGTGTTGACCTAGGGTCA